GGGTTGCTGTATCCTTCCTGAACTCATAGGCCTCATCCTGGAACTCTTCTCCAGGGCCCTTGCTTGCCAGCACTGCCAGTCCTAGCTACCGCAGCACAACAGTAGGCCCAATCCTTGCCCTCAAGGCTGTCTGCTCTGGGCCAGGCTCACTTATTCTCCTTGAAAAGCTCTCTGGGCACCCACTTGCAAAGATTTAGTAGGTTCTGTAGTCTCTGCCCAGGAAGGTCTGCAAGGAAGTCTGTTTGCTACCCTTGTCTCCCTAGCCTTGGGAATTCGGGACCCTAGGAAGCTCTCAGTTCTGATCCAGAAGATCACTCTGAGACTAGAAACTTCTCCTTGAGGGGCACTGTGGTTGGACTCTACTCCTTGAAATCTCCTGAGGCTTTTCAGGAGTCTGGTATTGCCACTGAGTTTTCAGGGCTGCCTACAGGCCTATCTGGCCCCCCTGAGACATGATCCTGCTGGCTCTACAGAGGCAGTACAGGACCTGATGTTAGGATGTTCCAGTCCTGCCTTGTGAGAACCCTGGAATGACTACACGCAGATACCTCCTTCTAGGTGGGAATGGACATGGCCACAAGAGATTTCTCTATCCTCTGCACTGGTAAAAGGGCTCCTGGGTAAGCATTTGCCCTCAGAGTGAACAGCCCTATTACTGTTGCCTCTTTTACAGGGAGGGGTACTGGTGATTTAATCCAGGGGAGCTATATTGCTGAGCTATGTTCCCAGCCCTTATTTTTTATTTTGAGAAGGGTGTCACTGAGTTGGAACAGTGTGGGACATAGGTTCTGGATTTGGTGGATAGGAACTTAGGGTACATGGGTGCTAGGATGAATCAGTGTGGCCTTGAGAGATGGTGTGAGCAGTTCTGCCTGTGTGGGAGAAAGACTAGAGGAATCCAAGGCAAGCATTTACAGAAGTGTACAACCTGAGCCAACCGTGGTGATGTGTGCCTGTAGTTCTCACTACTCTGGAGACAGGAGGATCACTTGAGGTCATCCTGGGCAACACAATGAGATTCTGTCACACCCTCCTCCAAAAAAAAATGTAGACTTTGATCAACCAGGCCCCAGATCACAAGGTTCTATGTTTTCCATCTGGAGAAGCCATACTTACCTGCTTCGTAAGCCAAGGCTGTTTGTAGTTTCAAAGTTTTCTTCTTCTTTGACTTATTGTTGTTGGAGTAAGATGTGTCTAGAGTAGATCTTACTGTGTTATGTCTTTGACCATTATTTCTTAGTTTTTCTGTCTTGCCCAAACCATGACCGCTACCTTGGCTTGACAGCCCTACTAGAGTTTTCTTCCCACCACCTAGGGCAGCTCCTGAATCTTAGCCAGACTTTCAAAAGCAAATCCAAGCAAGTGAGTGAATGTGAATGAGTGGTGAATGAGTGAATAAATGAATATATGAGGGATGAAGTATGCTTTCCCTGGGTATCTTGTAGTTAGTTCTGTTCAGAGGAGACTCATGAAGTCCAAGCTCCCAGTAGTGGCTCTCTGTTCCCTGCACAAAACTCCTTCCCTGGCATGGGCCAAGGAGATGCTAAATATTAACCACATGCTGGCTTCTGGTTGGTGATCAGACAAGAGCAATAGATAGCCTTGTGCAGGTGGGGTAGGATTGTAATTGGAATGTGAAGTTTATAATCCCAGCCTCCCCTCCAGGAAACTCTGCTAAAGTTCCTGGTAGGTAACAAAATTGCTGGTTTATGGTAAGACATTTATACCTATAACAGCCTGGCCTGTTTCCAAAGATTTTTGTAGGTCATGTAAAATCTCTTTTGATCACTGTATTTTACATAAACATTCTCAAGATGGGCAGGCAGGATGGGCTTATTGGATTTGCCCTGAAATATCTTCCAAATAAAGTTCATGCCTGAGAGAACTGCCATGGATAAAAGCAGTATAGTGGGCTAGATTTCCTCAGCTTTTATTCTCCTGACCTTAAGTGGTTTTTATAATTAAAAACAACAAAAAAAAAGAAAGAAAAAAGAAAAGCTCTGAAATAATGCACTTTTTTTTAGTTTTTGTTTTTTTTTTTTTTTTTAACTCTGCAGAAAGATACTCAGCATCTTGAAGCCCTTTCTTTAAAATTTTGAGCTTAGGAAAGTTTTTCATCTTGGAAAGTAGAGGGGCAAGTGGCCCACTCTGCTTGCAGATGATAACCTGGTGCTCAGGACACATTCAGAGTTCCCTGGGGGGTGGTGTGACAGGAAATGCCTGCGGCCCTGGGGTGAGCCTGGCGCCTCCATTTTCTGACAGCACCTGAACCCTTACCTCCTGTCTCAAAATGAAGGCTGTGTGTCACAAACCGGTTGGAACCGCCCGTTGCCATGGTTTTCACGTTGGAAGGCACTGTTAAAGGGTCATGTGACCAAGGAGGGAAATGCCTTTGTCACATGACTTTTTGGTGGCCTGATTAGCATACAGGAAGTTCACTCCCTGCTGGCTGCTAGGATGCAGAGTGATCATTGATGGGTGATGACATCATCTCTTGGATGAGTTATTGATTAGTCTCAAGCCAAGATGGGGCCTGGGAGCACTGAGGTCAGGGTGGCCCTCTCAGGAAGCTTCAGCTGCTTAGTGGCCTCTGTCCCTAGCCCTGCCCTCTTTCCTCATGCAAATTCAAGTTTTAGTAGATATCTCATCTTTGAAAGAAGTGCATACCCCTCTCTCTATAAGATAATGAAAAGTGATAAACCCCTAGAGATCAGCTGTTTTCAGCCTGTGTGTTTCCAGGAAGTGTGTCTGCCACCTAGACTGCTCCTCAGTTCATCTGGGAGCCCATCTGAACAGAGACCAGAAGTTGTATCTCTCTGCTGGGGCCACAGGTCCATTCACCTTGGACGCATTCACCTGTGTGCACATCCAGAGAGCATGGAATTGGAGCCATCAGGTCACCTTGAAAGTTGATCATGGGTGGTGTCAGTGAGAAGAGATAGCACAGATCTGGAGGTGGTTTGGGTGAGACTTTAATAAATATCCTGGATCATTCATAAACTACCCATTTCTAGACATCTGAATGTCTAGATGAGAACCCCATGCTCAGAGACTGTATACTGGCCGACTCCTCTTATTTCTGTGGCAGTCCAGTCAGCACCCATGCTGGTTGTCAGATCAGGGACAGGACTAGTGTTCAGGTGCAGCTGTCACAGAGCTCTGACTTGTGAAACAAGGAGAGCCAGAAAAGAGCAATGAAGGCAGCTCCAAAGTAGACATTTGGTGAATCTAGGGAATTGGTGGTAAAGCCTGATCCTCTGGTACTCTGTGCATGCCCTTCCTCAGGAATGGTGGGAAGTGTTCTTTGTGCTCTTAAAGTAGTGTGAAGCTCTGCATCCTAGTGACTGTCTCCTTACTCCGCTGAGGTCTAGTGGAAAAAGCAGGGACAACTTTGAGCTGTGACTTCCAGTTAACTTTATCCAAGTTTATTCCCTGGGTCACAGTGCCACCTAGTGTACATGTTTGTGTTTTCAGCAGCTTTTCTTGACTACAAAACCAAGAATTTGATTCCTTCAACCCAAATATTAAGCATCTTCAGGGGAAAATTGGCAGTGTGTCAGTCATTAGCAAATGTAGCTGCTTGATTTGGGAGCAAGTGTTGTTTCTGGGAGTGGCTCCCCTCTCCCCCATGTGCCATATCAGTGACACCAAAGCACATACTCAGCCCTTTGGCTTTAATAGCATCAAATGTGAATGAACATCCTAAATAATCCTTCACAGAAAAGGGAAGAATCCCAGACACTGATATGGTCCCACATGGGTTAAACGGTATATTGCGCAATGGGGTTCTTAGTTCTGAGCCTGGCTCAAAGTTAGTATAGAATGGAAACTTACTGTTGTTGGATTCTGATATGTAACAGCATTTGTTCACAGTCATATACTTAGATATTAGTGACTGTATCCTGATAAAATAAGAAAGCTATGGGGGCTTCCCTGTCACCCCCTGACACTGCCCAGCTTGTAGGGAGATGCCATGAGTCACCAATGAGAAGAGGGGGAACAGAACCAAGGTCAAGTTCACAAGTAAAAGTAAGCTCCCAAAATGGACCATTGCAAGGAGGAAAGCACTTTTATTAGAAAGCAAAGGGGTTGTGGACAAAAGTAATCAGAGCATTTTATAATGCAGTTTGAAGTGGGACTTGTGGGGTGGTCAGGGTTGAGTTCAGAGGGTGACAGGATATCACAGGGTGGCCCTGTCATCTGCAGGAAAGTCTATACAGTATTAGAGCATGGGGGAGGTCATAAATAAACTAGTTTGTGAATACATCAGGTGGGGTAGAGAGTATCTGGATCTTTGGGAGATATTCTTGTTGGTCTCATAACCTGTGGCCATTGCTGCCACTTGCCATATATGCCCTAGAAAGGACTGTCTGCCAGGCAGCCTCAGGATGCCTTGTGAAGTGGAAAGAGCTTCTGTTTTCTAGAGGCCCATGGACTGTTAGGTATGAGGTCATTAGTATGTCTGAAAGAGAAGTTGAGCAGAGAAGAAAGAATGGTTCATGAAGAGCTGAGCTTCCTCCCCATCAGGTAGTTTTCAGTTAGACAGATGGCAGCCTCTGGTTTTCGAGGCATAGGCATCCCATCACGCCTAGTACTCAGGAGCCTAACCAACTGAGACTGAGCTGGGGCCCTCGGACCTAAAGCCAAATGTTTTATCCAAAACCAGGCCACCTGGTAAAAGAAAGAGCCACAGCATTTTCCAAAATGTCCATGTTAGACTTGGGAGCACATACACCCTCAGCCCAGGGGACTTGGAGGCAGGGGTTAAGGGGCCTAGCTATGAATTGGCAGATTTGAGTGCCCTATGATACATGGAGAGAGGATGGCCTGGGTGCCTTGGCACCAGATGGGCCTTACAGTACACTGAAGGAAAGAGCTGACCATGTGGCAGAGACAGGAGCAGGGAGGTCTGCCCAAATTGACATGCTTTTCACTTTCTTTCTTGTCGTGTGTGTGTCTTGTTTGCTGCTCTGTTAATCACCCTTTGTCTCTGCTCCCAGTGACATGAAGTCTGAAAGGAGACCACCCTCCCCTGATGTGATTGTGCTCTCTGACAATGAGCAACCTTCAAGCCCAAGGGTGAATGGACTGACCAAGATGGCCTTGAAGGAGACCAGCACTGAGGCTCTCCTGGTGAGTTTGGTGGTGGGAGGGCCTCCTCTGTTCACACTACCACTGCAGCCCCAGCTACACTCATCCCTGCTGAGGACCCTCTCTCAACCATCATTCTCATACTCTTTCAGAAAAGTAGTCCTGAAGAACGAGAAAGAATGATCAAGCAGCTAAAAGAAGAGCTAAGATTAGAAGAAGCAAAGCTTGTATTGTTGAAAAAGTTGCGGCAGAGTCAAATACAAAAAGAAGCCACCACCCAGAAGGTATGTGCTTCTGGGACTCTGGGAGCTGTTTTCAGAACCAGGGGCCATCAGCCACTATCTTACCTTGACAACCCCCTCCTCAGAGTGCTGGAGACTGAAAAGGCTGGTCAGAGGGTTAGGGTTTCCTCCCAGAAATGTAGGGCAGGTCCAAACAGACATTTGCAAACTCAAGTGTGCATTTTGAATTTAGCTAGAAAGATGTCCAAGTAAGAAGATATCAAAATAATTTCATCTGATTATGTAAAACTCACTTTTCTTAGACTGAACATGTCTAGGAAATGGTTGTCTCTGGTGCTGCTAAAAGCATAGTTCTGAGTCTAGAGGTCTATCCTGAGTTCATTTCCAAAAAAGCCTGCTACTTCTGTCACTTTTGTGAAGTTTAACATGTAGAGCATCTATTACAAAGACTCAGTCAAGCAAATCAAGTCTGTTGCTCTCCCTTCTCTAGGGGAATATGTAGTTTTAAATAACATTCAGATGGTCTGCTGGTGTGGTTTAGTGATTGCGTGTCTGCCTAGCATATGTGAAGCCCTGGGTTCCATCCCCAGCACCCACCCCATCACTCCAAAAAAATAGTTAATCAAGTAAAATCAAGTAAAAAATGTTCATGCCCAGCATTTTCTCACTAAGGTTGGGATTAAACTGTCTAGGCCCAGGGCCCTTTATCTCAGCTGCTACGTCCATCCCGTGTAGCCCAGCGTCGGTGCCTGGACCTCATGTGGGAGTAGTCAGGAAATAACTGGGAAGTATGCTGAGAGGTTACTGCAGAATCTCTCCTTGGCTCATATAGAATGGGCCAACTCTTGGTACAGACAGGGCCACTTTCAGGTTGAAAGCCTGGTGTTCTTGGAGAAGGAAGGAAATCAATCCTCTCCTCTGAGTCTCAACAACATGTTGGTGACTCTGTAGTGAGAGAAAGGGACTGATGTTATCCCTGTTTTCTACCTCCAATCTCTATTTCTTTCTCTTGCAGCCCACGGGCTCCACTGGGAGCACTGTGACTACCCCTCCCCCACTCGTGCGAGGCACCCAGAACCTTCCTGTTGGCAAGACATCACTTCAGGTCAGTGTCCCCCTTGTGTCTTGATTATGCCCGTCTTGCAGTACTGCTGTCTATAGTCTGGAACAGGCCCATCAGGCTCCTGAGAAGCTCTGATCCTGGGTCCTACAGAAGCAGAGGCTGCCTGTTCCTTCTGAAAAGGCTGGAGTGAGACCTTCAGCCAGTAGCCCAGGGGAAAAGGGGGGCGGGGGGAAACATGCATATGTTCCCCAAACCAGGCTACTATTGATGTCACAGACAAAACCACAGTCAACAGTGGGAGGGCCCCCAAGTGACCATCTAAAGCAAGACTGGAACAAGAACCAAGTTCTCCCAAGGGTGGCCTGCAATCCTGCACAGCCTGAACTAATTCCAGACACAGGGCTAAAAGGGCTTTTTCTGCCCTCCCTCAAACAGGTGGTGCTCTCTGTTGGGGGCACATGTGGGGCCAGTTTCTTGTGGCAGTATGTTACTACATTGTTATAACTCATTCCTGTGTGAGCCCAGATTTCCATTGCTCTTGTGGGAGTATGCATTTAACATAAATATGTGTTTTAGCTCATTTTTTGTGTTTTCATCGTTCTGCATTTAAAAAAAAAAACATTACGTTCTTTTACAAAAACAATAAATCAATTTTCTAAAAGATAAAATAAATAAATGTGGACATTGGTGTCATTGACAGACCTCTTCAACTCGAATGCCTGGCAGTGTCATCCCGCCACCCCTGGTCCGTGGCGGTCAGCAAGTGTCTTCTAAGCTGGGACCACAGGCAAGCTCACAGGTCGTCATGCCCCCTCTCGTCAGGGGGGCCCAGGTGAGCAGGGCCACAAAGTTTGGGAGCTTGGCAGCCCCAGCAACTGACCACCACCTCCAGAGGAAGACTCTTTTTGGTCTTAAGGCTAGGGCTGTGGTGCCCACTTCTTCCTTGTGCCTCCCTCTATTGTTATCTTAGTTTTTGTCCTCCCTAACCCAACAGCAAATCCACAACATCCGACAACATTCCACCACGGGGCCACCGCCTCTCCTTCTGGCCCCTCGGGCCTCTGTGCCCAGTGTGCAAATTCAGGGACAGAGAATCATCCAGCAGGGACTCATCCGTGTTGCCAACGTCCCCAACACCAGTCTGCTTGTCAACCTCCCACAGGTGAGGGTCTGATCCAAGGCTGGAAGGGGTGTGTATATTCTCCCAAGGGCCCCCCAGTTGGTCCTAGGGTACCAATATGTCTCCCAGGGTTGTGGAATATGGCCTGTGTGCTTCCTCTAAAAAGGGTGGTATGTTAAACATTCCCACAGGGGTTCCAACCCGAGTTTCTCAGGCCATAGGGGTATGAAGCTTATGGGCAGATTTGCCATCTAGCAAAGGTGGATTGCTGCTGAGAAGGCAAGGATGGGACCAGTGAAAACCAGAATAAAATGAGTGGGGTCTGCTGTCCTGATCCATGTTCTGGTAACACATGGGAGACACTAGGATTTGAGGGTTAAGTGAGATGGGAGATGGATCTAGAGACAGTCTGGGGGGCACCAGAGCCCTCAAGGGCCCTCTGCCCGAGGCTGATTTGTGTCCTTAGGCACGGGTATGAGGAGAACACGTCTGCAGATGTTCTCAAAGCACCAGTGCTTCTATTCTTAGCCACTCGTCCTTTCACCTCTGTACAGAGCCTCTGAGATGGGGAGGATCTGTCCCCACCCACTGGGTAGCAGGATGGGAAGAGAAGGACCAGGAGGCGGGCAGGCTAGAAGCAAGAGCCTTGCCTGATGTACAAAATTACTGGGCCTGCAGGGGCTTTTGCTGACAAGCATGTTCATCCTTTCTTCCTTCTTTGACAAGGTTCCTTTTTGCCCGCCTTCCTTAGACAAGAGCAAGGCTGGCAGTTTTGGGCAGTGGACCTGCCTTTGTTAAGGTTGAGTTCAAGTGCAGAGATGATGACCAGTCCTATTTCTACTTAGGGGTCTCCTGGGCACAGCAAAAGACTGACCTAGGCAAGCCATTTAATCTACCCATCTCTGCTGTCCTCAGTGCACTGTGAGGTTGGGCAGAGGCGGCTCCATTGTTGGAGTCTGCTGCCAGCTGAACTGGAGGAGGGGGTCTGGCTAAGGGCACTGGTATAATTAACTCTGGATTTTGGGGTGAGCAGTTGTGGGGCAGGTGGAGACCAGGAAGGGGCAACCACTGTGATCCAGATGAGGACAATAACCTAGTACAGGAGCAGTGAGGATGGGGGAAAAGGGGGAGGGTGAAGGTACAGGCTGGGCCCTGGAGCTGCTTTCCCTTATAACACCAATAAGGATTCAGAACTGACTAGAGCATTAGCACCCCGGATGAGCACCAGCATATGTTCATGGGATAAGCAGCCCCTATCATACCTCCTCTGAGACCTGTTTTGGTTGTGGTGGTCTCGTGGATGTCCTTATTAGGCAAAGTATCAGTTTTAATGGTGTGCAGTGTATTGGATGTCCACTAAGCCTCCATGAGCACGTTTAGACTATCACTTGCCTCCTAGGGCTGTTCATTTCAGGCATCTTTACCAATGGTTCATTGACTTCCATGAACCTGCTAAGACAGATTTACTGAGGTTTTTTGATTTGGGATGTGGGTGCTGGCGGTGGAATTAAGAACCTTGGACATGCTAGGCAAGTGCTCTGCCTATAAGCCACGCCCTCAGTGCTCAGATTTACTTTTTTAAGGACTCATCAGTCAAGTGCAACTGATGTTGGTACTGTAGGGAGTCTGCGGAAGCCTGCCTCTAGTTGGGCACACTGACCTGGTTGTTGTCTTCCCAAAGCCCACCCCAGCATCACTGAAGGGGACAACAGCTGCCTCCGCTCAGGCCAACTCCACCCCTACCAGTGTGGCTTCTGTGGTTACTTCTGGTGAGTCTCCAGCCAGCCGGCAGGCGGCCGCCAAGCTTGCACTACGCAAACAACTAGAGAAGACACTGCTGGAGATCCCCCCACCCAAACCCCCAGCCCCAGAGATGAATTTCCTGCCCAGTGCTGCCAACAATGAGTTCATCTACCTTGTTGGCCTGGAGGAGGTGGTGCAGAACCTACTGGAGACACAAGGTAAGCAGCCATGGCTGGTTTCAGCTTGCTGCTGAAGGCACTGGAGCCTCTACCATGTGACACCATTTATTGTCAGTTCTGCTATGGAAGGGAACACTGTTCTCCTGTTGGGACCTCTGAGAACTGGGACTTGGGAGGCCCTGGTCCAGGGAACCACCATCAGTGGCCCTGGGACAGAAGGGGCAGGGGTGAAGGGTAGGCATCTGTGGGAGGCTGGCAGGCTTAAGCAGGACCCTTGGGCAAGCATGGGCTTGAGTTCTTTCGGTCCCTAAGCAGGAGGAGGGACACGGCTGCCTGGACCAGGCTCGCTTCATTACCCTTTTTGGGGACAGTGTGAAAAGGATGCCTGCAGGGTTGTTATCAGAAACGGCCTTGGAGACTTCTGGAAGGAGGTGGGTCACAAAGTTGGCCTTCTGGGAACCTGTTTCTTCAGACAGAGACTGACGTTTATGTCCTAAGATGGAGTTGGTGGTGAGGTCAAAGGGCAGTGAGCCTCAGTTCTTTCCCCAAGTGATCACATCATATGCTTTGAGAAGAGGAGGAGGCATACTGGGTCAGGGCCCAGAAGTCTCAGATGCTTTACCACTGGTTTCTCAGCTCAGGCCAGTACTGGCCCCACTCAGCAGACTTGAGGCAATGGTAGTATAGGGAATATACAGAGGAGAAGCACCTTTTCCCTGCCAACCACTTGGGATGCAGAGATAAAAAAGGATGTGTGATGGGGCTGGGGATGTGGCTCAAGCGGTAGCACGCTCACCTGGCATGCGTGC